CTACTTAAGAGGCTGAGGCAAGAGGATCACTTTTAAGCCCAGGAGCTCAAGACCAGCCTGGTCAATATAGTGAGACCCTCATCTTAAAAACAAACAAAACCTCTTCAATTCCAATATATACTAAGCACCTAACATGTCACATTCTATATTGAGAAAACAGATGCAAATAGTTTCTGTCCTCAAGGGTCTCACAGTATGACAGGTAATTTATTTCATAATTCATTCAGAAATATTTATTGAGCACTTGCTGTTTCCCAGGCACTGTGCCGTGTGTTAGGAATTCAGAGGGAACAAACTGAACAAAGTCGCTGTCTTCCTAAAGCCTGCATTGCTAGTGGAGAAGACAGACTAAGCAAGCAAATAAAAACAAGATCATTGCAGATGGTTACATGTTCTAAAGAAAATGAGCAGAATGGTGACAAAGTTATCTGAGAGTTGGAAATGAGCCACTTTAAGAGAGTGGCCAGGAATGGGCCTCCTGGAGGGATGACAACTGAGGTGAGACAAGAAGGAAGAGAATAAGGAGTGAAAAGCATTCTAAACAGAGCCAATTCAAAGTCCCTGAGGTCAGAAAGAGCTCAGGCGACGTAGGAGCAGAAAAGAGGCCCACAGAGATGCAGCAGACGAGTGGAGGGGAAGAGGAGAGGTGGGCAGCAGGGCGGGCAGGCGCCTCGCTGGTTGTGCTAAGGAACCTAGATTTTATTTGAGAACCATGAGAAGCCATAGAAGGTTTTAAGTGGAGAAGGGCCATGATCTTTGGGTGTTTCAAAAGCTGCAGGGGAGAGTGGATGGCAAGAAATAGGGACCACGGGGGAGTTAGTGATTGCCACAGCTCAGGCAGGAGGCGGCGGTGGCGGCAGAGAAGCAGTGCGAGGAACTCGAAATGTGTCCTGGAACAAGACTCAAGAACTGCCGGTGGACTCCATGTGGGAAGAGGGGGAAGACAAGGACAATGCGAACTTTTTTAGCTCACACAGTTGGCTAGTGACAGTGCTATTTACTGTGAGGAGTTTGGGGTTGGAAATGGACAGTTCAGCTCTGAACAAGTTCAATCTGAGATCCCAGCAGAAATGTCAGGTGGGGCCCAGGGTGCGATCCAGGACAGGAGGGAAGATACTGGAACCACAGTGTGGAAGCCAAGGAAGTACGTGGCGATGGCGAACAGGGTCAGGGGCTGAGGCTGGAGGCGGCAATGCCTGGAGGGTACATAGAGGAAGGCATGCCAGAGAGGTGAGGTGGGAGCAGCAGAGGAGCAGGTGACACCAGGACTTGGCCACAGAAGGCACGACAGTCGACAGTCGTGTGTGAGGTTGGAGGAAGGGGAGCTGCTGAGGACAGAATTGCTTCGGGGAAGTGCATGCTCTACGCTGCGTGGGGTGGCCATGTCCATCCCAGCATGCTCCAAGGCTAAGGCAAGAGAATCAAGAGTTTGAGCCCAGCCTGCGCAACTCAGTGACTTAGTGAGACCCTGCCTGAAAATTTAAAAAATACACAAAGAGCATCCTCTGTGAAGCACTGGACAGAAACCATAAGAGAGGGGATCTAGGGGCTGGGGAGATGACTCAGTGAAACAAGTGCTTCCCTGGCAAGTACAAGGGCCTGAGTTCAATCCCTGGTTCCGCAAAAAATAAAAATAAAAAAAAGAGAGGGGATCTAGGGGTGAGAGGGGCCTACAGAGCAGGGGCATTAGTGCAGAGCACTCGATAGAGGGGCTCAGCCATGAGCCGCAGAAGCCAACCTACAGTCTCCAGAAGAAGAGGAGCTGTGTGGCCAGTACACGCAGAGGTCAAGCCTCCTAGTGATCAGCAAAAACCAAGGACACGATGAGACACTGTTTCACATCCACTGCACTGCGAAGATGCTTTCAGGCTAACAGTGCCAAGTGTGGAGGAAAATGCGCAGCCACCAAATCTCATACACAGCTGCCGGGATTGAACATCAGTTCTGCTACTTTGGAAAGCAGTTGGCCCTGCCGAGAAGTTACACATTCACAGGCTGAGTCTGCAACACTCCAGCACAGCTGGAGCTGACTCAGCTATAATGTGCTCCGGCACCAGATTATGCCCTGCACTGGCTCTGCCCACACCGCCAGGCTCAGTAAGTGGTTGGCAGCCTGAAAGAGGAAACAGAGGCATGATCCTGCGGAAGGGCCCAAATCAGAGTCAGTAACATCCTAGTGCCGCATACAGAGCACCAGCAAGGGATCGATGAGAGCAGAGATGCTGGCAGGGCAGCATGGCAGTGGGGGGCCGCAGTCCTGCCCTTTGAGGGGCCGGTGGAAGGGATGCAAAGTGAGTGAGGAATGGCACGTGACAGGACAAGGGCCCTGGAGGAAAACAAGAGCCCCCTGCCCTGTGGCCTGGGCCAGCCCAGTATTTTCTCAGTAGCATAGGATACGGGCTGCTACAGAATGCAGGCAGTGCTAGTGTAAGTGTAGAAAGGCCTGGAGTCCTCAACACAGCAGGGAGGCTTCCTCAGACAATCAACATAACCATACTTAACTATGGAATGAGCACCAACAAACCCACCCAAAAGTACATGGGCCCCTGGGGGAGGGACAGAGGGGTTCACCCTACCTGCAGTCGGATAAGAGGCAAGAACAGCAGACATTCAAGGCTCATCTTATGGGACAAGAAGCTTGCACAAAGGCTAGAGATGTGAAGATACAATGGTGTGACTGTCTTCCCCCTCTTAAAGACACCCGCTAAAGTTGCTGGAGGCCCAGGAATGTTTTGTTAGTCCCCCTACCCTGTCCATATGAAGAACCCCTTCCCGATGAAGTTTATTTTTACTTCTAGAATTTACCTTAGATCAGTAAGCAGAATGTATTTCAGAAAAGACTCACAGTGCTCAAAACAGGAAATTAAACACCCAACCACTAGAATTGGTTGGAATACTATGTAGTCATTAAAAGCATGTTGCCAATCAAAATGCCCATCACATGGGGAGATGGCTCAGTGGAATAAGCGCTTCCCTGGCAAGCGCAAGGACCTGACTTCAATCCCCGGTTCCACCAAAAAAAAAAAAAAAAAATGCCCATCACCTGAGGACTGGATGAAAAAGATGTGGTATTTTTGTACAATGCAGTATTACTCAGCTATGAAGAAAGACAAAAAGTCTTCATAATTAAGTGGATGCAACTAGAGGCTATACTCATAAGTGAAATAAGCCAGACCTATGTGTGTAAATATACTGTTTCCCTAGCGTAAGAATCCGAAACAAGAAATAAAACCTGAAAGGTTTAACAGATTCAGTAAAACAGAAAAAAATGGCAATTGACAAACCTTGACAGACTGTATGCTGATATCTGCGAACTAAGCAACTACATCAAGGACAGCAGTGTGTAATACAAACAGCATGCGTGAATACTATCATCTTGGTCTTCTAAATGTGTACCATTTTTAATGTCATATCAATTATTACTGTACTCTTCAAAATAAATTTAAAGGGCTGGGGAGATAGCGCAGTAGAATAAGCACTTGCCTGGCAAGCACAAGGTCCTGAGTTCAATCCCTGGTAGCACCACCAAAAAAAATAAATAAAATGAATTTAAACCAAAAAGAAAAGAGGGACAAAAACAAAAATTTAAATGTCTCTGAAAAATGAACAGTAATATGCAATATATGTCCAATCTTACATAACTATGTTAATCTGAGTGACAGATTTGACAATAAAAATAACCACTGTTAATCAGCTGTTGTTCTGAAGATCTGTAACATATGTATTGTATGTTTTTGTTTTTTGTTTTTTGTTTTTTTTAATTTTATTTTTTGGGCTGGTGAGATGGCTCAGTGGTCTAGAGCACCTACTTAGAACAAGCTTAGCAAAGCACAAGGACCGCAGTTCAATCCCCCAGCACCACATGCCAGCCAGCCCCGCCCCCTGGTGGGCTGAGCTGGCCACACACACACACACACACACACATAAATAAATAAAATTTAAAAAATAAAAATAATAAATTTTATTTATTTATTTATTTTATTTGTGTGTGTGTGTGGCCAGCTCAGCCCACCAGGGGGCGGGGCTGGCTGCCATGTGGTGCTGGGGGACCAAACCGCGGTCCCTGTGCTCTGCTTAGCTTAGCTTGTTCCTTAGGTGCTCCAGACCACTGAGCCATCCCACCAGCCCACACATATATTGTATGTTATGCTGTTTCTGTCATTTTTTCTGAGTTTTGTTCTTGTTTTTGTCTTTTACTTTTCAAAATGAAATAATAAAATTTAATTTAATTTTAAAAAGTGTGTTGCCAAAGATTAGTTAATAGCATAGAAAGAGCTATACCTCCTAAATGAAAAGCAGATTATAAAAAAAAATATGATCTCAACTTTATGAAAACAAAGTACAGTGCTTTTTTTTTTTTTTTAGAACCAGGGATTGAACTCAGGCCCTTGCGCTTGCCAGGCAAGTGCTTATTCTACTGAGTTATCTCCCCAGCCCATTTTTTTTTTTTTTAGTGCATTTTTAAATGAATGAAAAATAATGTTCAAAGAGTATCTCTGGTAAAATTATGAGTGATAACATCTTATTGCTTATTTTCTACAATGAACATGTTTCGCTTTTTAAAAATTAGATAAAGGGGCTGGTTTGATCGTTGGCAACACATGCCACAGCAACCCACCCCCAGGTGCACTGAACCAGCCACTGAGACTGGGCGTGGTGGCGCATGCCTATAATCCCAGTGCTGGGGAGGCTGAAACAGGAGAATCACTACAAGTCCAAGCTGCTTAGGAAGACCCTGTACCAAATACATAAATTAAAAAAAAAATAGACAAAGGAATTTGGGTTTAGTGGTAGAGATTTGTCTAGCATGTACCAGGCCTTAAGTTCAGACCCCAGCACTAACACAACAGATGCTATTGAAACACAGTTGGAGGGCTGGGGACATAGCTCAGTAGAATAAGCGCTTGCCTGGCAAACACAGGGTCCTGAGTTCAATCCCCAGTACCACAAAAAAAAAAAAAAAAAGACAGTTGGAAACAGGTCCAACGATGTAGGCTCACCTTCTGCAGGATGGGGGTGGGGCAGATGCTGTCAAACAGAACGGAGTTGAAGATTCCATACACGCCATCATCAAGGTGGTACACAAAGGTCCTGAGGGCAGAGCCATTTTCCTCTGTGGGGAGGAGTGAAGGGTAACAAACAATGTTTAGGGGCTGAGAGGGGCAGCTGATATCACGGGAGGCTTAGGAAAGGTAACAGGTCTGTGGTGCTGAGGTGGCTGCCCCTCCCCCAACTGTGGGGTAAGTCCTGTAACAGGCCACCCATGGCCATCACCTGATATCACTACCATGTTAGGAACACTCTCCCTTACAACAGAGCAAGCCCACCCAGGGCACACTTCCCAGCCTGTATCTGAGCCCCTAGAGGCCTCCACAAAAGCACAAGAGCACCCACTCAAACTCAAGACCCAGGAGTTGAGCCACTTATCCAGTGGCACCAGACAGGGTAGTGGATGAGCTGGAGTGAGAAGCAGGGTCTCCCAACTGGACTGGATGGGACAGTCCCCCAGGTCAACAAGGAAACCAAAAGAATGCTATCCCTGTACGCACACCCAGGATATTTGACCTGAAGCCACCACACCTCCACATGAATTTTGTCCAGAGAAGAGCATACCATCCTGAGGCTCTCCTGCCTAAGGGTCCCAGAGCACAGGACAAATCCCAAAGTCAGAGTCCTCGACACCCCTCACAGGGTTCTAGGAGCTCACTCTAGGAGACCTGATCTATCTGGAAGGGCAGGGAAGAACAGTGATGCCAGTGGTGTGGGCATTCAGGCTGAGTCAGCCCAGCCCGAGCCTGCATTCCAACCGTGCCCCTTATCAGCCATGGGCCTCGGGCTGGTGACTCAACCCCTCCCTGCCTACGTTCTGTCATTTGTAAAGTGGACCTTAATAAATATAAGTTGTCATTAATTACTTTTATTAAGTTATAAGAAAGGATGAGCAAGAGCCTGCGTTTGGGAAGGAGACAGACCAGGGGTCAAATGCAGGCTTTACCTCTTATAGGTTCTTAAGCAACGCAATTATACTCCCTTTGACTCTGCTTCGTCATCTATAAAATGACATCAAGAAAGTATTCTCCCTAATGCCACTTTTATCTGTTTGCACACAGCTATGGAAAAAGATTGTCTTGGGAATAAGAGCATTTAATTGCAAGTTTCCCTAGAGTAAACACCCTTTCACCAGATCCTCCCATCCTGGCCACTGGGCTGAACACCAGGCCCTTTCCAGCTAGCCACTGTCCCAGCTTCAGGAGGGGCCAGGGCTCCATGCCCATCTGGCACCTACCCTCTCTGCTGGGCTGGTCTAGAAGAACCTCCTTCTTGGCGACAATGCTTACAGCCACGGTGAAGGCAGAGGTCACATAGTAGCGCCCCAGCTCAGCAAGGATGTCCACACCACAGCCCTCTGGGAAGTACAGGTCCAAGGCTGAGTTGATCACAGAAGCAATCTAGTGGGAGCAGTTTGGAGGACAATTGTGTGTTTCAAATGTGGGGTTTATGCTGAAGACTTGCTACAGCTCCAAATCTATTTCTTAAAAGCTTCTTTGATTTCAGGAAGAAGGACTTGGCAGCTGTAAAGACCCCAGCTGGTAACTGAGGACAGCTAGCCAAGAGGCAGAAGGAGGACTGGGCTGGGTTGAGCCCCTCAGACTTGTAAAAATCACCCTCTTCAATGTCCCCACAATGGAAGGGTCACCCTTCCTGTAATGATTGGAGCTCAGATTCCAGAAATCCTGACATGGATCTTTCATAAATGACCAGGTTGCTAAATAATATATCACAGAAAACTTTTTTAAAATATGAAGGAAAAAAAAAACAGAAACCACCCTAATTCTATCACCCAGACAACCCTAATTATTGTGAGTTATTGGAGTAAATTCTTTAATTCTTTTTTTATGAACAGTGTTTTTGGGGCCGGGGAAATAGCTCAGTAGAATAAGTGCTTCCCTGGCAAGGGCAAGGGTCTGAGTTCAATCCCCGGTTCCGCAAAAAAAAAAAAAAAAAAAGAACAGTATTTTTTAATTACATAAACATCATGGATCTGCATGTGTTCTTATAAGTTCCTTTGCTAACTAGACTGTGAATGTCCTCACATGAATAAATGTTTTCTTCCTAAGAATGTACCATAGCTAACCAACCCTGAGTATTAGATGGCCCAAGTTCTGGCCAAGTCCAAGAACCACACCACGCATAACCAGTCCCAAAAATGGCACAGAAATGGCATCAAGAAATCTCAGTCACATGGGGCCAGGAAGATGGCTCAGTGGAATAAGCGCTTCCCTGGCAAGCACAAGGGCCCAAGTTCAATCCCCGATTCCGCCAAAAAAGAAAAAAGAAATCTCAGTCACAAAGATATGAATCTCTGAAGAGGGTAGATCCCAAGTTTCTTAGGAACGTGCATTTTTCCAAGAAGCACAAGAAGAAGGGCTTCAAGAAGATGCAAGCAAACAATGCCAAGGCCATGAACATACACGCCAAGACTATCAAGGCCCTCGTCAAGCCCTCGTCAAGATCATTTCAAAGGGAGTAAACCGCAGGCTCCCTCAACTTGCCTATATTGCCCACCCCAACCTTGGGAAGTGTATCCGTGCCCCACAAGGGTCGCAGGCCTCGCTGGCCATAGGCCCAGGCTCCAGCTTTTGCTCCAGCCCAGCCTCCCAAAGGTGCCCAAGCCCCTGTGAAGGCTCCACAGTAGAAGCCTCTTATCTGCTGACATAAAAACAGAAGGACTGGGGGTTTGCCCCTTAGCTCAGTTCTTTAAGTGGCTGCTTCAACAAAGCAGTCAGGCTCAGGTTGCTGTGGTTCGATCCCCACAACTCAAGCCAGCCAAACCTGCCATGAGGTCATTCAGAGCCCAAAAAAACCAGGACTGGTGTGACCCTTGGGGTACCATCTGTTGGGGGGCTGGTGTCCTCCTGTGCTCTTTGTACAAATAAACCTGAGGCAAGATAGAAAAAAAATAAATGGCCCAGGAAAGTTCACTGCTGTTATGCACAAAGCTGTAACTCTCACTTTTGAGGCTCATTCCTTGGGTCCACTGCAGAATCACCTCCTCAGAGTCCATTCCTAGGTGTGTAGATTGCAGAAGCAGCCTCCTTTTGAGGAGAGGCGGCCCCTAGTGGGCACTTCTATAACACATTTCTCACTATCTCACAGATGAGACATGGGAAGCAAAGAGAAGGCTGGTTTTCCTTCCAGTCTTCCCATCTAATCTCTCATCAGCCTACCCAAAGGTAAGCAGGGCATACTCAGACCCTTAAAGGGCCTTATGACATGTGTTTGTGTCTTAAGGCTGAAAGGGGCTGGAGTCCGGCAGAGCCACCATCAGCCAGCTCTGCTGTGCACTCAGTGACATCGCCTTGATGAGGCTCCGTTTGCTCAGCCATAGCATGGGGTTAATAAGTACTGAGGGAGCCCAGGTGATGCCCCGAGCTCAGCATGAGGCACAGAGGATCTGCTCCCAGGAGACTGGCTATGAGCATTCTACCCCTCTGTACCAGTCCCCACTCCCCCATCCAAGGAGCCCAGCAAGACACTCGCAGCCCCACAGTTACCTCTTCAAACCTCACTTTGGTTCCCTCTACTCCAGGGAAGCCACCACCAAGGTCAAGAATATGCATCGCGTGGCCCAACTCGGCGCCGATTTCAAACACAAGCCGGGCTTCTGCGATGGACTGTGCATAGGCCTGAGGGTCAGGACAGCCGCTGCCAATGTGAAAGCTGGTAAGGGAGGAACAGCCTCTGCTTGCACACAGAACCCCCTGACCCTCCAGCCTCAGCCCAGCCAGTGGCGATCTTGGGCAGACACATGGTACAATGTGCCCATGTTACTGATGCAGTGACTGAGGGCATGAAATATTAAATGGGTCACAAGGGGCCCTGTGGCCAGTTAGGAAGGGACAGAGACACTGTGCCAACACTGCCTCTAGAGGACCCTGCTAGGATGAGAGCCAGGGCTCTGGATTACCCAGATTTGGAGAGGCCTGTCACTCAGTGCTGTGACCTGGCCAAGTTCCTCAGCATGCCTCATTTAAGTTTCCCACCCACAGAGCAGGCATTAGGGCCTCCACTACACAAGGCCAGGGGTACTGGACATGCACACTGAGCTTCACATACAGTACAATGAAGCTGCGCAGATGGTCTTTATTATTTTCTTCCACATCCCTGGAAGAAGAGGCAGGTCCAGGGTGTGGCTGCAGAACCTTTGGCCTACAGACTGACAGAATTTTCTCACGGCCAGGTCCCAATGGGAAGAGCCTCCTGGGATAAGGCCTCCTAGAGACTATGGAGCTGGGGACATTCCAAACCTTCTCTGCAAAGAAAGGAAGTTCTTAACTAGCAGAATTCCGGGCCCAGGAGCTGGCCTTGTTTGGAGGTCCTGGGGAAAGTCTGGGCTGGGTGTGGGAGGGATGTGTGGCTCCCTGTGCGCACCTCACACCCACTACCTCCATGTGGCTCTTCTTGGCATTTTCAAGCAGATGTCTGCAGGATTTCAGCAGTGCTCCAAACTTCAGGCTCAGGCGGCTCAGGGAGTGGGTGTCCTCAGTGGCGATGCACAGAACCATCCTGATGAGACACACAGTGACCTCTGCTGGGTGAACCCCGGCTACCCCTTGTCTCCTCTGAGTCCAGGCCTGGGAACTCACATGGCTTAGAGCCACGTGGGCCCACAATCTTCTAAGCCCATCATCCCCCTGCACAGCCAGTCAACCTCGAGTTCTGTCCAACTCTGTCTCCTAACGTCCCAGTGCACAGTCCCACATCACTTGCATGGGCTGGATCTTATCAGCTTCCCAGGGCAGCTCTAGTTCCTCTGGATACCTCCGTGTCAGGCAGAGTTCTCAAACTGTGCATGTATGAGGGAAACTACTTTTCAAAGTAACCCCAGTAACATAACGGAAGCTTTTTTGGGTGAACCAGGAGAGCCCCCCTCCTAGCCTACCCTTTACCCAAATCCCTCACTGGGTCTCCAGGGGATCCATCTGCATTAGAACCCTACCAGTGACCATCGTTACTGACTGCATCCTTCACCCATCACCCAAGGCATGTTCCAGCTACATCAGATTTCTGCTCACCCCTCAAACACTCATACTGTTTCTAACACCCATGATTTGGCTTATGCACTTTGCTGTTCACACCCTCCCCAAATTCTACTCATTCTTCAAGGCCTCCTTCTGGAGCTTTCCTGCCCTACCCTGCTGCTTCTCTCAAGCCTGTGACTTTGACCTCCACTCTGCCACAGCCCTTTCTGCCTGGAGCTATCATCAGTGAGCTAGTTCTGCCTTTGATCTAAACAGGCCTGACATCCTGGGTCCAGCCCAGGAGTTACCCAAGTGACCTCCCATGACAGTGGCCATGTCCAGGGCAAGCCCCTCTCCCTGGCACCCCCTCCACTCCCTCCACCCTCACCCAGCAGCCCAGACCTCAGCCCTGCATGCTTCATTCTCAGCTTACTTGGCACTGGGGTAGCTCTTGACCACCTTTGCCAGTTCCACCTCGTTGTCAAAGCTCAGCAGTTGCACCCCGTGCTTGGCAGCATACTTGATCTGTGCAATTTGCTTACAGGGATTGGCATAGATGATCTTACTGGCAGGGACACCAATGCGCTGGACTAACTCCATCTCTGCCTGTAGAGCCCCAAAGGTGGTGGTAAGGACACCAGGACCTACTGATCCATGGAGCCCAAAGAAACAGAAACGAAGGGCAGTCAGAGCTATATAATAAGTGGGCCTTGCCTTTAACACAACAGATAAACAAAAAGTTAGGATTTAAAGCTCATTCACCATTCTCTGATGGGTATAACTGCTACATACAGTCACACAGGCAGTGCGTGGCACAAGCCCGCTGGCTCCCACTCACAGCAAATACAGCATAGACTAGCACATCCATTATGACTTCCTGGCATAAAACATCTCACTCTAACAAAATCAGCATATTATAACAATTAAGTGTCTTAAGGAAGGAGTATATTTTCTAATTTACACAAAGGTCCATATAAGACTCCCAGTGGCCGTAACAACAGGCTGATGGCATTTTCCTGGCAGACTTAAGCGTTTAACAGTATTACTTGGAAAATAGGAAAGTCCCTCAAAAAATTAAAAATAGAGCTATTCCATGGCTCCAAAATCCCACTCTTGGTGTATATCCAAAGGAATGGAAATCAGTATGTGAAAGGGTATCTGTGCTCCGGTGTGCGCTGCAGCGCAATGCACAATAGCCGAGAAACAGAACAACTCCAGCATTCACTGATGGGAGAATGGATACAGAAACTGTAACACAGACACAATGCACCACTATTCAGTCATTTTAAAAAAGGAGGAAATCCTGTCATTTGTAACAACATGAATGAAGCCGGGTACATTATGCTAAGTTAAATAAGCCAGGCATAGAAACACAAATACTGCATGATGTCACTTATTTGTGACATCCAAAAGAGTCAGACTCCGACAAACCACAGAATGATGGCTGCCAGGGGTTGGGTGGGGGTGGGGGCGGGGGGCCATGTGGAGAGCTCAATACAAGGAGGATACACAGTCCCTGAAGGAATAAATTCAAGAGATTTACTGTCCCTCTGGGTGACTACAGTTAATAACAATGTGTTGTACCCTTGGAGACGTCTAGGAAAGGAGATTTTCAGTGAGGTAGCAAGGAGCAAGTATGTCAACGAGTACCTTAGTTTGATGAGGTACACATGTACTGCATTGCATGCCCACCATAAATATAAATATAATTGTGCCAATTTAATGAATGAGAATATTGCTTCATGTATTAGAAAGTCTACAAAACCAAGAGACTTCGTGACACATCTCACCAAAGCTCTGTGCTATGCAGGACACTATGTGGGGTGGCTCGGGCTCAGCACACCCTCAGGGCCTCTTCTTCCTATTTTTTTTTTTCCTGTTGTGGTGGTAGCGGGAGTAGTGGTGGTGGTGGAAGAGGAAGAGGAGGAGGAGAAGGAGGTGACAGTAATTTTTGCTGTTTGGTTTTTGTTGCTGTTATTTTTTGTTTTATTGCAGTACTGGGGAGATGGAACCCAGGGCCTCAGGTATGCCGGGCAGGGTTGCGCCACTGAGCTATACCTCAGCCCTTTCTCACCTTTATAAAATGTGGCTCTGTGTGACTGCTGCTTCAGTGATGTGGGCAGTGATGCTCACAGCCGTGATGAGGTGCAGACAAGCTTCTAGACAGGGGCGACTCCGTGAGCCACACAGTGTCTGCTGTAGCTGCTCAACTGCTGCCAGGGCACCGAGGCAGCCACAGACAGTAGATGCACGAATGAGCCAGCTGAGGTCAGCAACGCTTCTGGAAAGCAGAAGCTGGCTGGACTGAGCCCCCGTCTTAAGTTCACTGTCTCACTCAATCCTCACAACCCAATAAAATGAGCGTTAGTTCTGTTCTGCAGAGGAGACTGAGGTTCAGAGACCTTCTAGTGAAGGGCTACAAAAAACTGGCAAGGGCTGGTGAGATGGCTCAGTGGGCTAAAGCACCTACTTAGAACAAGCTTAGCAAAGCACAGGGACCGCAATTCAATCCCCAGCACCACATGCCAGCCAGCCCTGCCCCCTGGTGGGCTGAACTGGCCACACACACACACACACACACACACACATAAATTAAAAAAAAAAAAAACAAAACCTGGCAAAAACAATTTTCAAACTCAAGTCTAACTCTCCATGGATTAGAAGAAGTCCAAAGAGAGACAGTTTTGAAACATAGTAGAAGACTTCAGAGCCTCTTGAAGCTATCCTGAGTTGATAAGCCAATAATTCTGACTTAGCAACTTTTCCTCAGTAGGTATTCATATACATTATAGCCACCCTATAAGTATTTAATGGGAACATTCCACAGCGGACAAAATTGAGCTCCCAAAGCTCCACCTGCCTGTGACAGCAGTCAGTGAACAGCAGAGTGGGACCCAAAGGTCCAACTCCAGAGCTGGACTTGCTGTCATCCTGGCTTGCTTCCAAGGGGTAGCTGCACCCACACACACATGCATGGTCTGAGGGTGGTTTTTTGTTGTTGTTGTTGTTGTTGTTGTTGTTGTTGTTTTTCTTTTTACGTATTTGGTTGTTACAGGGTCTGACTATGCAGCTTGGACTCATGGTGATCCTCCTGCTTTCAGCCTCTGCAGCACTGGGATTACAGGCATGCGCCACCATACCTGGACTCTGGCCGGCCCAGCCCGGCCAGCCTGCCCTGGGGATGGGGCTGGTGCAGCATGTGGTGTGACAAATGGAACCACGGTCCCTGTTCTTGCCTAAGCTTGCCTAAGCAGGCGCTTTAGTCCGCTGAACTATCTCGCCGGCCCACATTGTGTGAGTTGGAGTGGATGTGTAAGTTTGCTCCCTATGGGGACCTATGATTTAGCTTTGATTGTAAATATTTAAGTACTAAACATTATTATTCACAAAATGCTTCCTATATGCCAGCTACTGCATTAAAATTTTATACACATTCTCATTTAATCTTCATAATACTCTTACTGTAGGTAGGAAAGAGGTTCAGAGAGGTTAAGTGACTTGTCCTAAATCACAACAAATTTTTTTTTGAAAGAGAATTATGCCTTTATTCCTTGTTTTGCGAATTAAGCAGGCTGAAGAGTTTGCAAAAATATGGAACTCTTCACGAATTTGCGTGTCATCCTTGCGCAGGGGCCATGCTAATCTTCTCTGTATCGTTCTAATTTTAGTATATGTGCTGCCGAAGCAAGCACACAACAATTTATTTTGTTATTGCTTTTTGTTCGTGTTTTGTCTTTTTGAGACAAGGGCTCACTATGTAGTTTAGGTTGGCCTCAAACTCACTTTGTAGCCCAGGCTGTCTCAAACTTGCAGAGATCGGCCTGCCTCAGCCTCTGAGTGCTGGGATTACAGGCATGCACCATCACACCTAGCTACAACACAGCTTTTAATAGCACAGTGGGATTGTAGCTGTCCAAACTCCAAACCTTGCACTGATAGGTATCTCCTGAGCATCTACCACATCGCCAAGCTCTGTGACAGGTGCTAATGAAAACAGGTTGTGAATACAGCTGCTGGGTTCAGATCCTGTGGCGCTTTCAGCTGGTGGGAAGACAGGCAATCACAAGTGGGCACTGAATCAGGGTGGAGGGCCAGGGAGATGGCTCAGTGGAATAAGCGCTTCCCTGGCAAGCGCAAGGGCGTGAGTTCAATCCCCGGTTCTGCCCCCCCCAAAAAAAAAACCAGAACCAGGGTGGAATTACAAATGGTTCAAAGGTATAATGAGAAGGTATAGGATGCTAGAGAATGTGGGACAAAAGGATCTGACTGAGAGGGATGAAGCACAGCCTGGAGGTCAGAAATATAGGCAGATGCTGGTAGGAGCCGGCAGCCAGGACCCTAGGGAAGGAGAGAATGTTTCCACAGGAGGAGCAGCCTGTGCAGTGGTTCCCAGGCAAGAATGTTCTTAGCTGGATCAAGAGGCAGGGAATGCTCCAGTGGTCAAGATAAAGTCAGGAGGAGGAGGGCAGGGCTGCCTAGGAAACCAGGAGGACTGCATGTGAATTTTCACTTTACTTTGCACATGATGGAAAAGAATTATAAGGGTTTCAAGAAGGGAAATGGCAAGATCAGATTTGTATTTTAAATGTAAGTGCTCAACACTTACTGTTGTGACCACAGGAGAAGGGGCCTGAGGGGCAGCTGGGAAGGCTGATCAGTGGCCGACCCTGGGGGAGATGTGTTCTGGGCGATAGGCTGAAACAGGAGAAAATGAAGTTCCCCGAGAGAAGGCACAGTGTACAAGACAGGGGGCCCTAAAACAGAAGGCAGAGGAATGCTGCATTTGGAGTGACAGAAGGTAGGAAGAGCCGGCTCCTGGGGCCCATGGGGAGGTAAGGAGGGAGCAAAATCCATCCACTTATGATAATGCCCAGATGAGCCATCAGAAGTGACCAGAGAGGGGACAGATCCACACCAGCATGGACTCTCCGCTTATATATTCTTTTCTTTTTTGAGACAGGGTCTTGCTATGTGGTCCAGTTGGCCTCTTAAACTCACAAATCTCCTGCCTCAACTTCCTGAGTATTGGGATCACAGGATGTACGACAAAGCCTGCATCATCTTATATACTTTTGAAGTCTTTAGAGACATATGTTATTGTTGAGAATCTTTCAAAAAGGGGTGGGACTAGTGATGCACAACTGTAAAACGAATGGGGCTGTCACTCAACGGTACAGTACTTGTCTAGCATGTGTGAGGATCTGGTTCAGTCCCTAGTATTGCAAAACATTTTTTTAATAATA